AGGAGATGATCTCAGACATCACAGCACTTGTATGTGTTTCTGGTTTACCTTAAGAACACTGTTCCTGTGAATACTGTCTTCTGAACTAATCAGCAGTATTTCTTTAAATTGCATATTTGTTCAGAATACTAATCCAGCTTGATCTGTTTTGGCTTGTAAAGCAAACTAGAAAATGAAAGGAAACTCAAGAAAATGAAGCAGAAACCCCAACCTATGGACTTCTTTCCTTGCCATTCTTTAGAATGGTTTTTCCATGTTTGCAGCAGTTTGCAAGTTGTGCTTAAAGACGATGATGTTAATGCCATTCTGACTCGCCTGTGGTAATGCCTGCTGTACCCTTAATGCATGCTAAGATGGCAGTTTCTCTGGGTGTTTTCTGTGGAGCGTGAGCTCCAGCAACACAATCTAATCCTGTCTGTGGGGAATAATTAATGACATAAGCTTTTGAGTAGCTTCCCTTCCCCCACCCGTGCCCTGAGGTACCCCTCAGAGCAGAAAATACATATTCTGCTTAAACTGAGACTTCCTTTTCTCCTAAAACAGGTAATCCTGGTGTTAGGGATAATGGTGGGTTTAACTTAGAAGTGTAGATGATGTCTACATCTGCAGGTATGTGCTAGTGTGTGAGTGAGGCGTTGATAAAGTTTCTTCACTACAAACTGAATCAATGATGGGTCTGTCGGATGGCGTGAAGAGATCATGGGGCCAAGCTGTTGGAGTTACAGCCCTAAGCAGAGTTAAACAATTCTGCTTACACTGTCGGACATTCTAGGTACTTTCAGCTGTGCTGAAACAGGGAAGAGTTATGGATCTTGTAGATCTTCCTGTAGGAAAGGACAGGTAGTCAAAGATGGGCGTCTCTAGGGACAAAGTTAACGCATAAATCAATGCAATGAAAAAGCAGACTTAAAATAAGTTTGTTTTAACTGCGAATATTAGTTGAACTGATAAATTGCCCAGCTTCTCAGTAAAAATCCTGATGGATGTGAGTCTTTAATTAATGACAGTTGGTCACACTTGCTGCTATCGTCTAATTCCTCTCCACTGGGTAAGACGCTTACTTCAGACTCAGAATTATGACAGTTTTAATGGAACATTCTGCTTTAGTTATGATTTATGTGTGGTGCGAGCAGTCTTGGAAGTGCTGAGAGAGTCTTGCAGAGTAGAAGTTTGCAATTGGTAGATGATGTGTGTCCCAAAGAAGAGCCGTTTGCAGGAGACTGGTTTGAACAGTTGTGCCTGTTAGTCCTTGGCGCTGCCATTTAAAAGAGTCTCTTCTTTCATCCCCTTTGAGGAGCTGACACACAAGGCGTTTAACCTGTCAGTCTCTTAACTTTCCTATCAGTACAACTGAATCATACAGTGCAGAGTGTGAGAAACTTAGTGCTGCTAAAAACAAATGTTTGTTCAATATTAATTTTTTTTTTCTGGTTATGCAAAATACCCTGTTTACAGCCAAGTGACAAGCTTAGCAAGCAGTTCCAGTGCTGCAATGAAGTGTCCTCATCTCTAGTAATAGGGTGCACCAGGAAGTAGAGCTCTGATCATAAATCTTTCTTATACCTAATCGGTGTTCTGTGGTCAAGAGAATGCTTATGTGGCAGATGTAAACCTTTTTGTGGTGTTTGTTCAGGCTTTTGGGGAAAAAAACATGTGTGAATGAGAAACTACGACTGTCAAGCTCTGACAAGAAATGCACAAGAAAAATTAAAAGGCACGGGAATTTAAAAATTGATAACTTTACAGTGCTTTTACTGCATCAGTGTATTAAGAGTCCCACATGGATGGATGGCAGCCCATTCGGTGCTCAGTGATACATTGATGTTGTGATTTTAAAGGAAAGCCTGAGTTCCCAGACGTAGGTTCTCTGGTCCAGAAGGCAGTAACACAAGTTGCCACTGGCTGCTGCCAGGTTACCTGCGAGTAATCAAATGTGGAGGAACTCGCTCTTCCCAGCTGGGTGAAGAAAATGTAGTTCTATGGAATGTAAATGGAATATTTACCCTCTAAACTTGTACATAGGTTGGAAAGATGGTATCGAATTAATTGGCCAAACTCTGCTAACAGGAAGTTGAAGAAGGTGGGGATGCAGGAGCTTTTCACAATAGGATGTTTGTGAACAGATTTTCATTCTAAAACCCCTGTCCCAGGAAAAGGTTCTTTTTGTGTTGCTTCTCCCTCCACCGATAATCTTGAAAATTAGAAAGTAATGAAGATGCCTGTTTCTGAGGGGAAACGATGCCCTAGGAGGGTATGGCATATTTATTATTTAAGGCAACAAAGTTAAGGGTGCAAGAAAAGAAAAGTCGTCTTTAAAAATACATCAGGAGAAAAGAACAGCTAAAGCACTACTTTCCAACCTGTGGTTTGTATTTCATTTGGCTGGAGGTTTTTTTCAGCTTATGAAACGAGAGGGGAAGAGCTTCTTGTTCTGCTATTCCTGGCATCCTGTTACTGCCTTCTGCTTAATTTTGAGAAATGCAGGGTCAAAGGAGAGCTTTTATTAGGTGATATTAAGTCAAGACTAAACATAAACTTGGCAGAAATAATTGTGTAAGTAGTTCAGAAGTTCTCCTCACTGTTGATTTGTTCTGGAGTCGTCTCTCTCAGCTTGCTGGAGATCTTCAAGTATGGCATATAAGTAGTTTAAAAGGTGATTGTGTAGGACCAGACAAGAAAACACATTCATTTTTATGCGGAGGTGATTGTGTAGGACCAGACAAGAAAACATTCATTTGTATGCGACTGGCATGTGTAATTACATGTAAATAGAGAAACCAGTACATGATTAATTTAATACGAGAGACTATTTCATGGTGCAGTTTGAAAAAGGATTTGTGAATTCTACTTCACAACATAAAGTTTTCAAAGCAAGGAGAAATGGCTGCAACAATTTTAATGCAAGAGTTTTTACAGTAGCTTAACCAGAAATAATGGTCATCTTGGCTTTGGAAGCTTTCTCTTAATTTCAGGTACATGGATCAAGGAAGTTCTGGTTTAAGTTTACTTCTTAATGAGTAAGAGGACCCTTAAAGTGTTTTCTTAAATTTTGGGGTTGCACAACTGCAGTTGTCTAAAGTCATGTGTAGTTGAATCAGGCAGGTTCATGGGCAGTTTTTGAGAGTCTATACGTGAAGAGGGTTTTGTTTCCACCCGCAGTAAGAATTCTGTGCTTCGTTATGATTGTGAGACCTGGGCTCTAATATAGAGCAGTGCTTATTCTCTAGGAGCTACAGACTGTGGGTCTGTACCCTTCTGCCAGTTTGTGACGTGTGTTTGAGTGTTTTAGGGGAACTGAACCAGCGGTGGGGTGTTCTGTTTGTTTTAGAGGAGGTGTGAGGATTACTTTCTGGCAGCGCTGGCTCAGGCTCTGCTCAACCGAGTCTCTCCTTTCAGGGTCAGTCCTACCTGGGGTTTTAGCTTTCACGTCCCACACAGCCTATCTTTTTTCCTTGCCTGGTGAAAAATAAGACTGGCAGTTCTGGCTAATGAAGAAAAGTACCTTTTCTTTTGCCTTTGCTATAGATGAAGAAATATGTTCTGTCAATTAAAATCTCCATTTAATAATTCCTTTAAATGGTTGCTAAAATAATACTAAAATATTAATGCTATAAACTGTTAGGTAGATTTCCATGAGTAGCTAAGACAGTTTAATAGAAACAATAACAGAAAAGGAAGAATAACAATAACGATGAAATGGGGCACTCACTGCCTGGTGAATCGATACCATCCTAAGCCAAGCCCTATTGATATACTGAGCATGAAGTCTATGGTATAGAACATTTCATTGGCCTTTCTGTCCTTCTGTCTGTGCTTCTATGGAAGCTGCAAAAAGTCCTTGATTAATGTAAACATCACTTAGCAAAAACTAAAACAATAGGTATTATTGATACTCCCTTCACAGCAATCACTAGAACAAAAATTAACTTTCCCAGCTGAAGCCAGGACAGTTAGGGAAGGGAAATTCTGGGAAAAAAAAGTAATTAAGGCAGTTTAGGGATATTTTTTTTTTAATGGAGTTCAGTATGGAAGAGAGAAAAAAGAAAAAGATTTGTTTTGGTGTGATGGTAATTAAGGCAGTTTAGGGATATTTTTTTTAATGGAGTTCAGTGTGGAAGAGAGAAAAAAGAAAAAGATTCATTTTGGTGTGATCCTGTTTGACTGGGAAATAATGGCTATGTCTAAATTATCAAGTAATTCAGTACAGAAGGAACAAATCAACAGATGAAAGCAGTGATGTGTCTTACATGCGTTTTGCATGTTTTACCCGTGGCAGGATCCAGTCTGCTCACAAGTTTTTCTGGGCGGTTTGTAGCTTGGGGCTGTCTGGGCACAGGCTGAAGCCTTTACGCCGTCATTAGTGACACGGAGCGCACCCAGATCCAGCCCTCACCTCTTGTCCATAACCTGTGAGAGAGGTTTGAAAGCATATGGCTGTGCTTGGGCATTTGATGATAACACTTGTTTATTAAAATAAAGCAGAGCTTATAAACTGCTCAGCTGCGTTTCCTGGATGCAGTATGCTGGTTTTTAGCTTGGTCCAGAATTTCACTGGTCTTACATCAAACGATGCAACAAACTTGGAATAAATCATCTTTCGGGTGCAGCAGGAGAGGAGATGGAAATAATTCCCCTTGAGCTAAAAGCCGTTTATTTTAATTAACATGAAGGATGTCTAGGAAAATGAGAATTGATATTTTGCAGAGGGGGGATAGGAAAAAAGTATGTTTTGTTTGCATTACGGACATTTACTCTGAACAGTGATACTTATCAACTTAAAGTTGTTGCTAGAAATATAGTGTGGGTGAAAACTTTGCTGACCAGGCTTTCCTGTAAATAATTGGTATAAAGTAATTAATCTGAAATCATTTGTATCTGCATTACATTTATATGCTTACTAACACACCCTTCTGGCACTATTTTTTTGGTCAGTGGGGGTTTTTTTGTGTTAACAAGTGTTAACTTGTATTAACAAGTGCAATTATTTTTTTTAACTGCAGTCCTTCCAGGGAAGCCAGGGACGAGCCTACCTCTTTAATTCTGTGTAAGTATGTTGTTACGGTTATACACACTACCTACAGCATGTATTTTTTTGGGGTATGCTTCATAAGTGGAAAACAGTGGGAATTAACGCACCTGTACTTTGCCCTGTTCTTTTTAATGTTGGCTTTACTCACCAGCAATAGTTATTAAAGAGCCTACTGAGCTGATTCGTAAGTATCCCTTAGTTTATCTTATATTTTAAGTAATTCTGCTAATAGCTGAAGGTTTAGGGCAGGCTGTTAGTATGAAAATCCTTTTGTATATGCAGTGGTAACTGTCTTGAGTAAGAGTTGCCATTTTGAGATATTCCAGAAGTTGAAATATATTTTGTGACTGTAAATTTGCTTTGGACAACTCTGCTGTAGTCTAAAGAAGAATTTTCCAGTGTGATAGATACATTTGTGGGTTAATGTTTCAGTAAACTTGGTACATCTTAAATGACCTTAAATATTGCAAATGTGCTGGAGGCTAAAGGTCTCTGTGATCTTATCAAGCCTAATATTTGCAATTTTAGGCATGTTCTGCCCATGATAAAAGTCTCTTTGAAATTATTAATGTGTGTATTTTAAGATTCTAATATGCAGGATTGCATTTTGGTCTTTATTTTTCAGCAATTTATGGTGTTGCAGCATTTTGGCAAAAGAAGTGCAGTTAAGTGTCTTAGTCTATTTTAGACCAGGATAATGGAACTATAACTGCAAAGGATTTGGTTGCAGATCCTTGAAGTTCTTTTTATATGTACTTGTTCAGTGGTGACTTGGTACTTCTCGTATAATTGCAGTAGCAAGAATCTGGTAATACAACAGCAAAAAATGGCAAAATTTTGTTCTTGTATAACACTGTAAACACTTGGTTTAGTCTTGCCTCACAGTTTCTGCATAGACTCTTATTCATGAAAAAGCTAGCTTGATGCAGTCCTTCATGGGATGTTTTGTTTTGATATTGCTGTTTGTTCATCATGGCTTAGTCTGCTGATCTGCAGCAAAGAAATATTTATGAGGCTTTTTCCTTGCTGCTATTTTGGAGTTGGTTCTAAATTCAGCTGTTGGTGCTGATTTACAGGTACAGACTTCCATCAAAGAGGTCTCAAACTGTTTCTGAGGAAAAGCCCAAATTGTAGAGGTGTCCAGTTACTGCTTGTGTTCTGTTCCCTGAAAGTTTAACTATTTCCTCTGGTTTTGTTGATGGGAGTGAGTGGAAATCCCCAACAGTTTGCTGTTTAGACTACCCACTTGAAAAATCAAAAACAAAGCCCTTTTTTCTTCCTGTCCTTCATTGTAGCAGAGGAAGTTACTTGTATGGCACTGAATAAGTTAGTCACTTCTTGTTTTTTTTTTTTAACCATTTTTTGTCCTCTGGAGAAAAAGAAGATAACAGGTAAGGAAAGAAACACCCTCATGCAATTAATGTAACTTCTTTTTTTCCAGGGTAAATGTGGGCTGTGGTCCAGCAGAGGAGAGAGTCCTTCTGACAGGTTTACATGCTGTAGCAGATATCTATTGTGAAAACTGTAAAACCACTCTTGGATGGAAATACGTAAGCAATTTACTTAAGCCTTCAATAAATGTTTATATGTTGAAGCACTGATATTTGAGCAGGTGGTTGAGGAGCACCTGTACTGACAGTTCAGGGCAGTTAGCTCTAGTGCTTTCGTATATATCAGACTGAAATACAGTTTTGCTTCCTCACATCTGCTGGAATGCTGTAGCAGATAATAACTTTGTTCTGGACTGCAAAACAAGAATGAGCTATAGGTGCTATTACAGCTGTCTCATACTTCTGTAATACCTTTTTGCAAGATTACCAGGCACGTACACTAAATCAGATGGAAGATTGTCAAAGTGGGTCTTTAATATCTTGGGTTGCAAAAGTTGGTTCATATAGCAAAAACATGAATTATGATAAAAGGTACTGAGCATGTTTGCACTGCTTCTGGTGTCTGAGAAGTTTTCTGTACACTTCCACACTTACCTGTAACGTTTGCTGCTGTTCTGCAAGTTTGATGTTTAAAATACTTCATTTCCCCAGCTTGATGCAGCATCTTGGTTTTTCTTCTTTCCAGGAACATGCTTTTGAGAGCAGTCAGAAATACAAAGAAGGAAAATTTATCATTGAACTTGCCCACATGATAAAAGACAATGGCTGGGAGTGAATCGCCACCTTTTTCCTTTTGTTTGGACAATATTCTGTGGAACATGCTTTACAAAGACTAACGCAAAGTAAAGGAAGAGCTTGGCTAGAGTGGCCCTGAGAATATCACTGAACTCTGAAACCTCACAAATGAGTAGTGTAGTGTAAGTGGCTATTTCAGGCCATGTTTGCCTTTTCTCCTTGTGTAAGTTCCCTCTTTTTGTACGTGTATTATTGTGTGAACAGTTGTTTTGGAACATTTTGGATGACCTTTTTCTAAACTCTCTCAAACTAGAGAAACAGTTCACTAATTGAAAACGGATTTTACTGGTTAGCGTCTCTCTGACCTATGCCTTTAACGCTACCTTCTGCTGTGCATGCTTCTTGCCTAAACACCCACACTCCAGTCCTGTAGAAGTTCTGTATCTGAGCAGTCTGAAAGAATGTATGGGATGGGGTGCTTTTTTATATGTAGCAATTTCTGATGTGTTTGGCAGTGAAGAGGATGCAGTATTGTAGTTATTAATTTCTTTTTTAAATTTGAGTGTACCACAACCTATGTACATCTTGTAGGTGAATTGGTTAAAGGTACAGTGCTCACTTTAAAAAAATATTTCAATTGCACTGACTGAAGTTAGCAGGTCTCATGTTTTTAGGAAAAGTTATGCTAGAGGTTCGGTATCTTAATGAAATACCTTAGAAGGATTTTCAATCGATAATGCTATAGAATATGTTCATTTAAGACCAACGTATTCCCTAAGGAATTTGCTGGAAAAGAAATTTATAAAACTATAGCTTGCAAGATTAAAAAGGCAGAAAAATATATGCATCTTCTATTTTGGAAAAAAGAAAAATTAGTCGGTGTATTAAAAAGTTTTGGTACTGTACCTTTGCCAGTAACAGGGACTTGTGCATCAGTAAAGTTTAATGGCTGGTTCCATGTAACTGTATAGTCCTAATGCACTGGACAAAGAGGTTGATATCAAGGAAACCTGTTGAAGTATTCTGCTTCTGCTACATTTGAACAAAAATACTTATTTTTGTGAGAAATGGCCAGAGCCTATGACATGAAAATTAATATAGTACCTGTAGGAAGAGGAGGAGTAATAAGAGGGAAGGGAAGTTTGACTCATTTTTTTCATAAAATAACAAGATAATTTTTAAAAATTGGGGGTGGGGAAAGGGTTTCTTGGTTTGCTGGCTAAATCATCCCCAAGTACCTTTTTATAAGAAAAATTTATATGAAACTCACCTTCTCTTTTGTTCTCACACTGTTTCTTGAGTGGAATGAGTTAATGAGAGAAACTTCTGGAAAGCGTATGCACGGTATTAGCTGCTGGTGACTGTGCATGCAAATTCTAAGCAACTATGAAACACTCTACATAAATTTGCTAACTTTATTTTTCAAATTTAACAGTCTCTGAAGACTTTGTATTTTAATCCTTAATGCTCGAGGACAAAATGTTTGGAAAAAACCCCCTTTAACACTACATAAATACTATAACTGAACAATATAGAAGCCTTGCAATACAGAACCGTTTTCTCTCAATAACAATTCTAATGTGGCACCTGCAAAGCTGGTCACAGGTGCTGTTGCTGCTGTTACGTTTTTGGGAATCTCTGATAGGCTTTCTGAACTCTGCTGCACTTTAGAAATTTTGTCATACATGAAAAATTACGCCAATGGGTAGGGGCAATACAGATGTCTCAGACCAGCTTTCGGGTGTCTGTGGAGAGGAGAGTTCCCCACGTGTGTGCGTTCCCTGCGATGCAGGCTGGCTGAACTGCATTCCTGGTGGTGTAGCCATCTACACCTATGAATTAGACATGTAAGAATTAGAGAAGCAATTAAAGCTGTTGGATTTCAGTCCAGAGACCTGTGGTGGTACAGTCGTGTTCGTCCTGGATTTTGTGGCTTACACGTCACTAGTCCCTGTTGGCATCACCAGGCTTCAACGTGCCCCTGTTAGCCATGCCATTGGTGCAAGATGCGCTTCTGTGCTGCCCCATCTCTTGATCTTTTTGACCTGGATATCTCGGGATTTTGTTTTCCTCCATTGTAATGTGTGTTGCCAACAAAGAGGGCACTGAATCTTCTATCAGCAAAAAGTTTGTGTTGGCTTCAAAGTCCAGGGCAACGTTGCTTCTTGTGGACACGCTGAAGTAAAGTCTGTGTGCCTCTGGGCTCTTCTGATTTCCTGGCTCCAGACTTGCTGAAGCAGCTGGGCTGACGACAAAGTAATGGCTGCTTTTCCATAGAGAGTTGACATTAAAGAAAATATGTAAAGTATTAAAGTTTTTTCTCTCTAAAATTGGGGGTTTGGCTATCTCCTGTTAGTAAGTCAATGCTGTCTGTAACACACTCTGATTCTTACTTAGAAGTTCAACCTCTTTCTTCAGTGCATTATTTATATTTTGAACTGGACATTTTCACCAAAACCTTAATTAACTTTGATGCCAAAGGTTGGGACTTCATCAAGTGCTTAGCACATAGAGCTTCAGACTGCTGGCATAAAGAGTTAATGATCTATATGTGATGTTTATGGCTTTTAAGAGACCCAAACAAAGCAATATTCTTTTTGGTCTTTTAAGAGTGGACACTTAGAAGGAGTAAAGTCTAGAACTAGGACAGAATTGCTGTTTCATGCTGCCATGTAACAATTCTCAAGGCTTGTTCTACTGAGGGAATATGTGAATTTTCTTCCTGTGTTGCTTGGCAGCATCAGTGACTATTTTCTCCCCTTTTAAAGATGTAGAGAGTTCTTGTTATTGGTTTTGGTGAAAGTAGGATCCAGATAGCAATGGCTGCTGGCTGATGTGAAGAGGTCAGTCTGGTCACTGAACCGTCCAGCAGCCATTTGAAAGCAAAATAAACTTACTTGAAAAAAAAATTTTACTAAAGCATTTTCCCTCTAACCAATTTTTGTAATATATTAAAGATTATATTTAAAGTTTGTATGTGTTTGCTCTGGGCAAGTTTACTTCCCCTCCAACTTGAGCACTTTTGTTACTTGTACTGGTTATTTTTATTGTTGGTCTTAACATTTATTTTGTATTTTGTTTTTTATAAACTGTAACAAAAAGCTTTTGTGAACCTTTGTTTCTTGCTGGCTCTTTCTTGGACCAAATGAACTGACTATGAGCTGGCTTAGAAGAAATGTTCATTGGGATGCATAGGAATTTGCTAGCAAAAATGTACATGTATTGAAAGGTTTTTTTCTCCTCTGAACCTCTAAAGCCACGCCTGTCCTGAAGTAATTGATCATAATTTGATGTGACTTTAGCAATCTGACCACCCATTCTCTGTCTAGGTCCAAAATACAGGCTATGACAATGGTGTTCCAGGGCCAAGTCTGCCTCCAAACACTAGGGTTACGCTCTGGCTGGTCACTCCAAGTACCTTTTCAATTAAATAAAAGGCAATGCTGCTGTCTGTAAAAATTCTGTGAAGCTGCAGACTTGCTGTGAGATGAGCTGCAGGATGTGGTGAGGGATGGTGGACACATCAGCTGAGCCACTCGCTGTGTGCTCCTGGCAGTCCAGTAATACCGGTTTTATCTGCCAGTAAAAAAGGCCAGAATATGAATTTCCCTCATTTGTAAGCTGTACGATGACAAACTATATTGATGAAGTTTGTTATAATTCCATCTCAATTTCCCCCTGGCCAGGTCTAGCGTAACAGCCCCTCCGCTGGCACACCCCGGGTCCCTCGCCGTCCCAGGGAGAGGAGGGGGGATGCAGGTGGTGAAATGGCTCTGAATTGAGGCTGTGACCAACAGCCACGACTGCCCACAGCCGGGGGGTCACCGCGCTCCCTCGGGGTGTCGGGTGGGTGCAGGGGGGAGGAGTGCTGTGTACCCCCGTGTACCCCCCCAGGCTCCTCTGGGCGGGGGTGACTGGTCCCACACTCCCAACATCTCCGTTCCTCGGGAATGGCGATGAGTGGAGGAAGCTGTCAAATTACTGTTAAACTCTGGACACTCCATTGTTGCTCATTGAGACTCGTGTTAAGCCAACCAGCAGAATAAACGCTGCAAGAGGAACGGACGCTTCAGAGGTTTCTTTTTTTTAAGGACTGTTACAAATGGTTTAAGGCCTAAAGCATGAGTCGTAACTGGCAGTTGAGTTGTGCCTCATTGTTTCTTAAACTCTTTACAAGGCTTTCTTTTACAGGTGACATGGCTGTGTTGCTGTTTTGTCCTAGCAATACTGTACATCATTTGTTGTTTCACTATATTGTATCTACTTGAGGTATCACAATAAAAGCTTTCAATTGTTTTGTTGAGTTACTTGTTATTTTTGTGCTGTCTTTTCTTGTTCGTTCGGATTCCCAAAACCCAGCTGCAGGAGCTCTGTGCCCTGTCTGTGCAAACAAACTTTTTTTCCAAAACTTTCTTTCACAGCCCACTGGAAGCGGGGGATCTCATAACGGAGTGGGGCTGCCAAGGGCTGTGTTTTGCAGCTGGGCTCGGGGAGGGGGGGATAGCTCCATCTGGGAGACGGGTTGCAGATGTAAAACATGTGCTTTTGAGGGCTGGGGGGGGCTTTCCCAAACAAATGTATTTCCTAAACAAATATAAATAGCTTGTCTGCCATGCGCAGGGGAGACCTGCTGATATTACCACGGTGAACCTTGGATCTGTTGATCTGGAGCCACTGTGGAGGCACGTGCCACAAAGCTGGGTTGGAAAGGTCTGAAGGGTCACCAGGATGGGGGTGAGCACTGAGCTCTGCAGAGACTGCAAGTGCAAGTCAATGGGAAAAGATGGAATTTTGCAGCAATTCGGGTCCCCCAAAGCTTTTCACCTCCGTGCCTTGTGTTAAATGGCAAAAGGAGCTGCTGTTCGTGCCTGGGGGAGAGGAACGTGCCCCATCACCATCACCCTGCAGCTCGGGGCACAGCTGGGAACCCACAGCTCTCCCAGCAGCCACTGTCTGTGGAAGAGGCTGTTCCTGGCCATCATCTCATTACAGGCCTGAATTAATCACCTCTTTCCCTCTGATAGTCAAATAAGCAGGCTTGCCCTGGATGACACGCTCCACTTGGTGACCTGGTGTAACTAACACTGTAAATCCGCTCTGCCTGTCTGCTTAAATTATCTTCACTCCTTTTCTTCCTCTTCTACCTTCCTCCTTCCTCAGTTCCCCACTTTTTATGATGCCCATAGCAGTCCAAAGTCTGCAGTGTTCTGCAGAGAGAGTTAAAGCCCTAAATACAGTTTCTCTGTCACAATAATTGACAGAAAACACGCAGGTGTGAGCTGCAGCCCCAGAGCCCTCTCGCGATGCTGTGCTGTGTCACCTCTGATCCCGGGCTGGCCGAGCCCACAGATTTTTTGCTTTAGCAGCAATTTTTTCCCTTTCCCCCTCTTTTCTGTAGTGAAAAGTTTCTCGCAGCATAGGAGCTGGAAAAGCCAATTAATGGCCTTTAATTACCTACCCATAACATACTAAACCAAAAGGTCTCTCGCGTCATTCTTTTGATGTTTACTAAAATAGAGACTTTGCTCCACAGACCTCTCCTTCACCGGCCAGAGCTCACGCTGAAGGTTAACAGCTCCCCGAGTTAATGATTATCTTTCCTTGTTTGCGCAGTGTTTCAGAGTCAAAACATGCCCACACGACTCCCCCGGGAATCGCCAGGCTCCGCAGGGAACACCTCCCTCAGCCCCTGCCCCGCTCCCCGGGAGCAGCCATGGCAGCACCGTCCCGCTGGGGTGGGAGCTGCTGTGAAAACCCCTCTCAAAATAGCCATTTCTAATCTCCCCCGGGGCCGTTAATCAGGTTTCTAATCCAGCAAAGCTGCCCGTACTGTAACGTGCTGCCAGTCCCGGGCCCCTCTCGGTCACAGCGTCACTGGGTCAGGGACTGACCTGGGCAGAAATAGCTGCAAAACAAATGTTCTGTGGGATGGGTCTGAGACAGTGGCTGATGCCGTGACCTGGATGGTGCTTCACCTGTGAAAGCCAGGGGTTACCAAAGGCTGGGCTGCCTAGAAATACAGCACAGCACCCTCTCCTAAGCTGAGATTTTCTGAGCACTGGAAGCAATCTCTGCTTTTCTGAAGACAAACACAATAGCTGGTCCTGTCCCATTGCCTTCAAATTAGATAGGCCTGCTCTGACGATGTGTGACAGTCACTGGTTTCTGGGCAGCCTCACAGGAGCAGAGGTTTCACCCCCTGAACCTTGGCTGAATTCCAGCCGGGGCAATCACATCTGCCTCCTGCCCCCCTTCCCTGCCTGGTCCTGACTCTCCTGGGGACCCGATGTACCACGGGGAGGGGGGATGACTGGTGCAGCCCACGCACAAGTATGTGATACTTACAGTATTAATGGGGTTCCTCTGGCCAAAGGCACTGTATAAACGTAAACTCATCACTCACAAGGCGATTCAGCATCCTGTGCATGGGAGCAGAGGCAGGGAAACAACGTTTTCCAAAGGTTAACATAGGCCCTGCACAGGACAGGCGTGGGGGTGGCATCATGCTCCTGCCCCACACCGTGGGTCCTACCAGCTGTACCCAAAATGAGAGCTCCCACCTCCCTCAGCTCCCAGCCCCGGCCTGGGCACACAACCCCTTCTGGTGCCCGCGGCTCCCGGGAGGAGCCTGGCCAGTGCAAGGTGCAACATCCGAGCCCTCAGACCACACAAGCTGTTGTCCTGGTGCCCGTTAACGAGCATTAACACGCTGCGGTTTTGCCACTCAAAAATCTCAAGACTTGTAACAAGAGCTGGGGCTTCACCCAGCGCCATCGGTGTGAAGGGTTTCATGGAAACTTCTCTGGTTTCGGTGGATGCCGGCTCTGGAAGCCAGGCTTATCTCCCTGAGCCACCCCGTCGGCCCCTAATTTGAATGATGGACGGGCGGCGAGGGCAGCAGCCGGGCCGTGCCAGCATCTCCAGCTTTCACAGCAAGGGTCGGTGACACCTCTCCCTGGGCTGGCCCATGGGGGCTCCCTGGGCACCGGCAGCAATAGCAGTAGAGCTGGTGGTTACCCCTCTTCCACATTTTTTTTTTCCTATTTTTCCCCATTTCCACATGAAGCTGAGACGCATAAATGTTTGATCCCCTGAGGCACTGGACTGAGACGTGGAGTTGGGCTCTGCCCTCCCAGGGGACTCTCCCTGTGGTGGGCACCGCCTGGCTCCAACCCTGAAACCACCCATGCCCGGACTGTCCACAGCCCTGCCGGGACATGGGACGCTGGCAGGGACTGACGGTGTCTGGGCGGGTGACGGGACGGACGCTGAAGGACCCAATGGGCCGGGACACGGACCTGAGGACCATCCCCTCCGCTCCCCATGGCAGCCCCCTGCCCCCCCAGACACAGTCTCCTCGGTACGAGCTCCAAGTGGCATCTGTTTTGGCTCCGCTGTTGCTCCCTGCGTCCTGGCTGCGCCGCAGGCCTGACGTTAACGGGAGGTGACGGGCGCCGGGCGCAGGGCTGGGGCGAGCGCCCGTTCCTCGAGAGCCACAGCCCTGTGAGCCATCACCCTCCGAGACACACACAGCTGAAAAAAATAATTAGGCCACGCTCTAGCAACGTGTAACTTGTTTTGTTATAGATTAACTGCTGCAACACACCCCGGGCACTTTGCTGGGCTGACCCTTTAACCTACTCTTCCCATGGTTTTTTTAAGGCAGAGGCACTCCAGATCACCATCTGGGCTTTTATGGGGGTGTCACAGAGCACAGGGACGTCTGTCCTGCCGCTGGGCATCCCCGGGCAGGAGACCGGGGACAGCGGGGGCCACGTCCAAGGACCCCAGCCCCTGGGTGGGGGGACACAGCCATGGCCAGGGGCCGAGACCCTTCCCCTCAGAGCCGAGGGGAGACGCGTGTGGCGACTGATTCATTCTTCCCTGAGCATTTGCCGGCTCCTGGCGGGGGCTGCCACAGCCCCTGTGCCCCCACTGACGGGTGACCCCTCCTTTCTGGACAGGTTTCAGGTTTTTCTGGCCCCGCAGCCCGTCACTGTCTGCTGGGCTGGAGACACCTCCCGGGGCCGCGCTTGGCCCCGTTCCTGCTGCTCCGTCCCCGGGACGGGCTGTGACCGTCTTGGCAGCACAGCCCGGGCCTGAGCGCTCCGGCTCCCAGCAGATTTCCCCGGCCTCCCCGAGTCCTTGCAAAAAAACCTGGTGATTTATTCTCGACAGCTCAGCTGGGCAGAGAAAAAACATGCTGCTCTTTACGTCTATTCTTAATTTCAATTGGGTATTTTTTTTATAACAGAGATTGCCAATAATAACCCAGCAGGAACAGCTCCTGGCCCCGTAACCGCCCATTTTCTGCCCTTTCCTGCAGCCTGGGCCAGCCCGGTCTCTGCTGACGAAGCGACGCAGCCGGGGGTCAGCGATGGCGTGAGGTGACCGTGCTGCCCCGGCCCGGGACGGTGACAGCGGGTGACACCCAGCCCTTTGCTGGCATTTGCACCATTGGAGGTGACAGCTTCCCCCCCCCCAAAATACCTGGCTATGGAAATATGTCCGGATGAAGAGCAAAACCAACACCAGCAGACAGGGCTTCCAGGGCAGCGCTTCAGGGTGGGAATTTTCCGGGAATACATTTATTCTGGAAATCAGAGGAGGGTTCCCAGCCCTTCTGGTCCCTGGGGGGCACCTGCAGGACCGGGAGAGGCCTGATGGGATGGGCAGAGGAGCAGCTGGGAAAATTGGACTCAGGTGGGGCTGGTTCATGTTAACAATTCCCTCGTTAGCGTTGGGTGTGGGGCTGCGAGGGCTGCTGCATCCCTGCAGGCCCAGCAAGGATAAACACAGTGTTTGCCTTATGGAGAGCAGGAATAAATACATCTGAGTTTTAAAATGTGACCCTCCAGGTTATTCACTATGTAAATATATGCTCTAAAATAATCAAAGCTGTAAAAGTTAATTAACATCTTCTTGTGTCTCTGCCTCCTCGCAGAGCTCCGCAAGGTCTGTGGCTGTGAAGCACAGCCAGAAACGAGGTTATTCAGCTGAGGACCTGGGAACGGCGGAGACCAAGAGACATCCCAGGGCTGGGGGAGAGGGAGGTGGATGGAGAAAGCAGGATTGTCGCCTGGGTGAGGCTGGCATCGCCCAAACTGGGCAGGGAAGGGCCAGCACCCAGCCGTGCTCCTGCTGGCTGGATCCCCATGGGACCAGGAGCCGATGCCTCTGTCCCAGGGCAAGGAATCCACACATCTCTTTGACCACTGAAGCTCAGGGGTCCTGTTGGCCACCAGCCCCTCTCCCCAGCAGCCCCGGATCCCACTGCTCTCCCCGGGGGTGGCCACGGGGCTTGACC